GCGCCACAAGGGAGGGCCCCTAGTAAGTTTGCTTTTTATAGCAGGTATCCAAATGTCACTCATACATTTACCATTTGCCTTCACAGCAAACAGTTACTGTGCTGCCTTTATCAACAGGTCATTTCATCCAAGTAAAGTAGATTATTTTGTGCCCTATACACTATAGTCTTATCCTAAGCAATAAAATCAACAAAGTTGTCATCTTAAAATGTGAGGTATATTTTTTCTTGTGCACGTCAAAATAAATACATATTTATTAAGATAGAAATGTCACTTCTATATCATTTTAAATATCTAGTTTACAGCCAATACTACCTTGAACAAAATACATGAGAAAACTCTCTTTTAAGGAACAGTTCTGCAAACTAGAAATATAAGAACCTGGAGAAGCAGCCATCTATTTCAAAAAGTCATTCATTTTTTAATTTCCATTTATTTTTCAGGTTTGTAGAAGGAATGCTCAACATTTGTTACAATGCCGTTGATCGGCATATTGAAAATGGGAAAGGAGATAAAATTGCTATCATCTACGACAGTCCTGTTACAAATACTAAAGCAGCTATTACCTACAAAGAAGTCCTAGAGCAGGTAATATCAAAATCTTTCTATATGTTATTTGAATATCATACAGTATTACTTAAGTACATACATTAATATTGAGTAACCATTTTTTAATGTGATGTTTATTTATTAGATAATGTTGGTTTGTACTGTTGTCTGTGTTTGGAAAATATAGTACCCCCTCCCTTTTCAGGTGTTATTGCCATAGCGCAGCCAGAGCCAAAGCACCATTGTATTCCCTCCCCACCATTCTCTGACCTCATTTTTTCCCCTCCCCCTTTGGGTTTCTTAGTCCATAATCTATTTCTGATTTTATCTATTCCTTTGTTTAGCTTTTCTAATTCTATTTACAAGTGACACCAATCTGGTGTTTATCTTTCTCCTCTGACGTACTTCACTTAGCATAACCCCTTCTAACTTTATCCATGGTGCCACAAATTTTATGTGTGTGTTTTTCATTGCTGAGTAGTATTCCATTGTATATACATACCACAACTTTTGAACCCCTCACCCATTTTTGAGCATTTAGATTTTTCCCATATTTTGACTGTTATAACTAGCACTTCTATGAACATGGGAGTGCACGTTTCCTTTTGAACTAATGTTTTTGTATTCCTAGGTAGATACTTAGAGGTGGAATTGTTGGGTCATATGGGTGATCCACTTTTACTCTTTTGAGGAACCTCCATAATTATTGTCCATAAGGGCTGAGCCAGAGTATGTTTCCACCAACAGTGTAGGAAGCTTTCTTTTTCTCCACACCCTTACCAGCATTTGTTGTTTCTTGTCTTTTTCATATGGGCTCATATCAAAACAAGTTTTGACTGGGTTATTTGTTTTATTGACATTGAGTAAACCTTTAATTCTTTTAACTCATTGACATATCTTACTGTGTTTTACTTCTAATACTTGTTAGAAATAAAAATGTGTAAGCTCATTTAGAGTTGTTTCACCCTTAAATGTAACTCCTACAGTCCCAAAAGGTGCTCGTTAGGTAGAGAAAAGTTAGAAAGTCTCTAAGAATAAGGTCAAATCCTCCTCAGCTTTGTGCTTGCCATCCATATTGCTGTAACATTTGTCCAGTTAATTTCTTCAGCTCTTATGTTACTACTGAAGGAAACTGCTAACTTCCTTCCCTTTTACCAATCTCTCCTGGTTATTAAAAAATTATTCTGAGAGAAAGAATCTAGACTCCTGTGATGTAGAAGATACTGTGGAATCTGATCACAGCATTCTGCCAAGCTCCATTTCTTGATATTCTTGACCACAAACAAGATTCCTCTACATCCTAGATGTCCCGTTATCCCCCAGACACTCCTGTCTTTGCTGCCCTGCACAAGCTCCTTTCTCTTCTTATAGTTCTTTCCTGTTGGTGTAGTTTTTAGGTGATTTGTGGCCTTGCGAGGAGAGTTATGAGAATTTTTCTTCTTTTATCATTAGCGTAAATGAGGTTTTAAAAGTAATTGTAAATGTATTTTGATATTGTGATTGTGGAAAAGCTATTTGAACTCCATGGAGACTTTTTTTTTTAAAAAAGAGATTTATTTATTTGTGCATACAGAACTGGAGTACAGGTCAGGGGCTTAGGGACGGCGAGAGGCTTCACCAGAGACAGAGTAGGGAGCAGAACAGGCAGATCTATGAAATACACTGCTGAGGGGAGCAGCGGGAGGGTCAGGAGAGGTCTGCCGGGCCATGTGGTCACCTCCAGGGCAGGCGGGAATCGAACTCATGCGGAAGTGGCGTTAGCTTCTCAGTGCTGTGCTTTAACCCGCTGCGCCACCAGGGAGGTCCTGGAGACTTTTACTTACATAAGATTTTGAGGAGATAATTGTGTGTTCAGGTATCGTCAATATCGATATTTTAGGTGAGATGGATTATAGTTGTGATCAATATCATGTACATGTGAGGATATTTAGCAGCTTCTTTGGCTTTTATTGTGAAATTACACACCTCCCCCAACTGTAATGACCAAATATATTTCAAAACATTCCTAAAAGATCTGTGGGTGTCAGGTTGTCACTGGTTGTGACCCATTAGTTGAACAGCCTGTCACTGTGGAGTTTGAAAGCATTTGCTTTTAAATGACATTTTGAGTCACATTCTCCTGTTTTGCTTTGTCCATTTCAGGCTTCCATTAGTCTTTTTAGAAAGTTTAGTCCACTCTCTCTGGCTTCTGAAATTATATACTTTTGCATTTAGATTATTCTTGTTTAACTATCTAAGAGATTTCAATAAAGGCAGCAGCAGCAAAACAATTACTCTCCAGTCCCGAGTTGCAAACAATCTAAATGTAAAATTAAGTCAATTTTGTTCAGGATGGTTATCAGCCTGTTTGCAATAACAAATCCCATATTTAGCTGATTTTGGTGTAAGTGGAATTCATGAGACAGAAATAATGAAGAAGCAGGCATAAACAATGCAACACCGCAAAGGAGAACAAGAAGCATGGACTTAGGGAGAACTCACAAACTCTCTAGTAACTAAACTTGCTGATGATTCAGTCTCATTCTAGGTTGACAGAGTAGAAGCCAGGTCAGGTTGCCTGCTACACTACGAGAGAGAGGAAGACATGTCTTGTCTTCTTTTGATTTCACCGTAGGTATTAGAGCTTTGCTTCCCTCTAGAACTCATGCTAGGAGAGGTCAGTATGAGGGCGAAGGGAGTTCAAATGCTGGCCAGCAAAGAAAGAACAAAACAAAACAATGCTGCAAATATCCTATCAGGTGCTTTTTGTTGATGGTAAGTGGGAACCGTGTATTTTCAGAGTGAATGCTAAGGACATCGAGGCTAAAAAGCCAATGTGCTTCATTACCAAATGACTTTATGAGTCCTCTAGGATATATTTTTATTATAAGAGATGATATAAGTTTCCTGGTAACCAGTTATACTCCATTTTTCTTTTAGGTTTGCATTTTCAGCTTTTAGGTGATGTTTAGTCTATGACTAAAAACCAGTTGTTGGGACTTGGCCATATATTTCACTAACATTCCAGGCCAAGATATGGGTGCATTTTAATTGGTATGCAAAATTGGAAGCTTCTATAGGTACATTATAAAACTATTAAGTATGTCAACATACTGATTTTGATACATAACTGAACATCAGAATCAAAGGTAAAAGCTTTGGAGAAATCTGAAATAAGAAGAGGAAGATAAGAGTTGTGCTATTCTGACTTTCTATTGTTTTCTTCTCATTACTTACATAAGTATATGTGACATACACATGGTGTGCTTAGAAAGCTTTCTCTTAATTCATCTTGATTTTCTAATATTGAGTCTAGACTCTTAGATCCTTTAGAGGTTCGTATTGGTTCATTGGTTTCAGTTTAGCCTGACATCAAAGTACTTAGGAGGCCTATTTCTCTCACCTGCTGACAGTGTCTGCATTCCAGGCTTTTCTTCTCTAAAGCTTTAAAGGAAGAGCTGTTGGAAAGAGGGAGACATTATCCTCTACTTTGATTACCTGCTACTGCTTCCCTGTGGCCTTTATTTTATTAAGTAGAGAAGACAGAAAGATTTAATGGGTAGTACTATTGAAACAAACAAAAAGAAGTACCTTTGTACTTTACTAGTTTTATCTCCACTATTTCATTTCTACTGGGGGTTCTGGCCAGGTAAAACTTGATAAAGTTTCTTTGCATTTCAAATTTCATTAGTGAACTAACACAATTTTAGCCTAAATTGGTTCCGTGACATGAAAGATCGGAGGGTTTTGCAAAAAGATTTAGCAATAGAGCTTTTCAAACAGCCATCCTTTATGTGGATCTGTGCATTTGAGCAACGCTTCATTAGGATTTTTTTTAGAGTTCTGAGCCTGTTTCAAGATGCACCATTCATTCAACAAATATTTAATTTAAGTCAAGCCCTTTTAGAAACAAGCAAGCAAATTAAATAGACGCATTCCCTAGTTTTTATAAAGATCATGTTATAAAGATTACAGCAGGGGGGTGAGGTTATCTTCTGTGCAAACACAAGAGAAAGCACCCAACTCAGTTTAGGGGTTAATAGAAAGACTTGAGTGAAGAGTCAACACCTAAAATCAGCCCAAACCACCATCAGTGGGAGACTGTGGAGAGGAGAGTCCCAAGTCCCTAAGACAGGCAGACTAGCGCATTTGAGGGTTTTGGAGGGAAGAGCAAACCTAGTGTCTCCAGTATTTCGTGGCTTTAGTATAAAGTAGAGCTCAAGCAGGTAGGGAGCTAGGACTCCAGTGTGCCAGGCACCAAGGATTCTCAAGGGGATGATGGAGTAAAGGAACAATAGCCGATCCTTTCTGCAACCTGTGCTTCTGCAGCTCCTATTCCTGGGCACCACTGCACTGCCCTAAACACACCTGTCCCATCCTGCCTTCTGCAGTCAACTCTCCCGGCATGCTCCTTGCCCCTTTCCAGTCCTTCCAGTCCCGGCATGCTCCTTGCCCACCCTTTACTTGAAATGACTTTTCTTACAGGTATCTTGTGATTCATGGTACTTAGATATTTTTCTCAGTGATATTTTCTCTGGTGATATTAAATATAAATTTTCCAGTTCACTTCTTTTAAGTATTTAGTTAGCTATTCCACAGCATCATTCTTTGCATCTTATTTGTCTCTTAGTGTTTTCTTCTCTTCTGGAATGTACATTCCAGGAGGGTAAGGATTTTTATTTTCCTCACAGAACAGTGGCTGTTGTGTATATGGAAACTATCTGTTGAGTTCTTTATTCATCATTTAGGAAAGGGTGAGTGAAATACCACTTGAGGGTCCCTCCTAGTGGTGCAAAGGGTTAAAGCTCAGCACTGCGAAGCTAGCTGCAGCTGCTTCAGTGCTAGCTAGTCAATTTGCCTGTTCTGCTCCCCACTCTGTCTCTGGTGAATCATCTCACTGCTCCTGCACCTTCAGCCTATACCCCAGTTCTGTGTGCATAAGTAAATAAATCTTAAACAAAAAAAGAAATTTATAAATGACTCAGGCTTTCATTGTTGTAAGAACTTCTGCTCTTTAAACTGCAATGCTAGTAGAACTTACCTCTCCAAATAAACTTTAA